CTCCACACACTCACTCACTCCCAGGATGTCCTGGAAGCACCAAGCTGTCTGGACATGGTGCTTCTGGGAGTGCATTTGGCCGTGCCCTGCCCCAAGGCAGCTAAGGGGCTGCCAGAGGGAAAATGGCTACAGGCTCTCAGCAGTCCCCTCACGGGAGTCAGGGTGTTGCTTCTCCCAGCCCAGAGACTGCAGTTGTGAGAACCAAATGTACACGGCTAGAGCCCAGCTAGCCACTCAGCTCAGCCCCCTAATCCCCACCAGCTAGGTGCTCAGCAGATCCGGCCCCTGGTTGCGAGAGGACGTTTTGCCACATTCTCCCTGGATCACCAGACCCATCACACACTCGGTGTGTCTGTTCCTTTTCCCCTCTGCCTCTCGCCTTTCAGTTCAAGATTGTGACATTCCCCCCTGTGCATCAGATTACAGAATGCCCCTCGGCGTCCCCGACACGCCCACCCGCCTGGTGTTCTCCGCGCTGGGGCCCACCTCCCTGAAAGTCAGCTGGCAGGAGCCGCAGTGCGAGAAGGAGGTGCAGGGATACAACGTGCAGTACCAGCTCCTCAGTGGAGGTCAGTGAGCCCTGGTCTGCTGGCGCCTGGGCCACAGGCATGTTCTGAGTTTTCATGGTACAGCTGGGAGATCAAAAGTGGAATCTGGGGTCTAACTGAAGCCAATGGTAGTTTTGCTCCTGAGCTGAGATTTTAGGGGGGGGGCGGTCCACATCCACAGGCTTTCATCCCAGTTCTGCCACAGACTCCTTGGGTGGCCTTGGGCAAATCATTTATAGACTCATAGACTTTAAGGTCAGAAGGGACCATTATGATCAGGCCACAGAATCTCACCCACCCACTGCTAGAATAATCCTCTCACCTATATCTCAGATATTGAAGTCCTCAAACGATGGTTTAAAGACCCCAAGATGCAGAGAATCCTCCCACAAGTGACCCAGGCCCTATGCCACAGAGGAAGGCAAAAAACCTCCAGGTCCTCTGCCAATCTACCCTGGAGGAAAATTCCTTCCCGACCCCAAATATGGCGATCAGCTGAACCCTGAGCATGTGGGCAAGACTCACCAACCAGACACCCAGAACCTGTGCCTCATTTTCTCCCGTTTGGACTAGCTCAGATGCTCCTTCCTCCCCATGGAGCTGAGGGCTTGTTCGCTGATGTCTGTGACGTGCACTGGGCTAGCCGGGTGGAAGTTGACAGAGGTGGGGCCCAGGTCTGATTCTTTCAGCCTCCTTGCTCCATGTGGCTAATGGTAGTCGGGGGCTTAGAACCCGTTGCCTCTGCACCTTGTGGTGGGTGCTGGAGAGGCCTGTTGGCAAACACAGATGTAGTGTGGCCATTGGGGGTAACCGTAGCTACCATCCCAAGGGGGCTACTTCCCACAGCAAACTCGGGTCCCTCCCTAGCCTGTCGCATTGAGTTCAGTGCCCCAGCTGGGAGCCGGATAACCTTGAGGGCAGAGTATTCTAGCTCATGGGACTTCTCTAAAGGGGTCGGGGTCGTATAACATGCGACAGGCCATCGCGGGTTCATAAGGATTCCCCCCTAAACACAGGGCCCTGCTGTGACTGGCCACTGCACTGTCAGGACACTTCCAGTTTGTGTCCAGGCCCTGGCCAGAGGCAGGCTGGCAGGATTGAGGGCCTCTCACTCTGATCCGGTGTGACAGGTCCCCTGTGCCACTGTGGCTGCAGCTCTGTGGCAGAGACTGTAAGGGGCCCGTCTCTCTCCTTCCTCCCCCCTCCAGGAGACATGTACAGCCTGAGCATCCCCAACCCAGCTCAGAACTCGGTGGTGGTGGACAACCTGCTGCCCAACCACTCCTACATATTCAGGGTGAAGGCCCAAAGCGAGGAAGGCTGGGGGCCCGAGAGAGAAGGTGTCATCACCATTGAGTCCCAGGTGGATCCGCAGAGCCCGCTGAATCCCGTACCAGGTGAGAGGGCGTGGTGCTGGCATCACTCCACTGCCGTCCCCCTGCAGCTGGGCAAGGAGCTGCTAGGCCCTTGGGGTGGAGGATTCGCCACATGGCTCCACTGCCCGGGGGTATGGAGACAGGCCTCAAGGTGCTCTGGGGGGCAGGGGCAGGCAGGCAACCCCCCATGTCGAAGCTGAGGCTCCATGAGCCGCCAATTCATTGCTCTTTCACTCCCCCTCTAAAATGAATCTCCCCCCCCCACCAGCTGAGACATCAGTGACCTGCATAGACCCAGGCTGCCGCTTGTGCACCTGGCTCCTCTCTCCACCTCTCCAGCACTGACCTCTTGCTGCCGCTCCTGCAGGTTCCCCGTTTACACTGAGCACCCCCAGCGCGCCGGGACCCCTGGTGTTCACAGCCTTGAGCCCGGACTCGCTTCAGCTCAGCTGGGAGAGACCCCGCAAGCCCAATGGGGCAATTCTGGGCTACATGGTCACCTGCGAGATGCTACACGGAGGAGGTAGGTCCTCACTCGCGGTGAGCTGGGTCTCAGCACAGGCAGGCGCGAGCCGTCGGAGAAATGAAAAACTAATCCTTGGGGGGGGGGGGGGGGAGGGGTGGCACAGTACAAGCG